AGAGCAGACAGCGTCCCCACTAACTCAGGAGCCAGGCAGAACGAGAAATCCCACACAAAACTGGCTCTAGAGCAATGTGGATATCCTAACTGGGCCTTCCTAAAAGCAGAGAAGAAACCCAAACAGGACTCCAGTCAGCCATCAGGTGAAAAGGAGGAACCCAGACCAGTGGTCATTCCGTATGTTGAGGAAGTATCGGAGAAACTGAGACATTTATTTTTTAAACACAACGTCCCAGTGGCTTTTAAACCCCAAAATACATTACGGCAAAGACTTGTTTCATCCCAAAGATCCAGTCCCCCGGCACAAACAGAGTAATGTTGTGTATGCTGTTCAGTGTCAGGAGGGCTGTGATCAGTCTTACATTGGGGAAACAAAACAGCCACTAGCCAAAAGGATGGCCCAGCACAGAAGATCAACATCATCAGACCAGGACTCTGCGGTCTACACTCATCTCCAGGCCAGCGGTCACTCTTTCAGGGATGAAGATGTTCACATCCTGGACGGAGAGGAATGATGGTTTGAGAGAGGAGTAAAGGAGGCCATCTTTGTGAAAAGAAATCGTCCATCATTAAAAAGGGGTGGAGGCCTCCGGGTTCAACTGTCCCCCTCTTAAGCCCCCAGTATACTGCAGCATACGTCCATACGCAGAGGTTCGCACGTACGTACACAGAGGTACGAGCGTACCCCCCAGGGCATGTCCGTGCAAAGCTCTAAATTTTTACGACCGCGTACGCGGTGTCACACAATAAACTGCCCAGCGACGGACTGTTTTTGTATGCGACACCAATGCATTAAATTCCCCTTCTTCATCCCTGATCTGGCTTCTTTTTTTTTTTTTTTTTTCCAAGAGGCAGTGATCTCTTCCTCCTCCGTTGATGCCATGACTGAAATGGTGAGAAATGAAGGAATTTGTCACGAGCGAATTAAACTCAGGTCCAGCGTGGCTGCGGGAGGGTCTGGAGATTTACTGGTGTGCTGGTCGGATGTGTGGGCTGCAGAGCTAGCGCTCTGTTTTTTTTTGTTTTTTTTTTAATTAACAACATATAAACACAGAACACTGCTGTGGCTGAGGCTGCCAGCACTCGTTTTTTTCTTCCCCTGACCTGTCAATCAATCCAATAGGCGTGTCAGCAAATGACCAATCGGCAACCTCAATTTGTCCCGAAGGTAAACGCCCCTTGTCTGTGAAGCTGCTCAGGGTGGACGCTGGAGTACAAAGTCTGAACCCTCTGCGTACAGTACACTCATACGTACGCGTGAACGGACGTACGCGGGAGTATACTGGGGGCTTAACAATGCTGTTATTGCTAGTATCACTCAACCCTCTGTGAGTAGTAAACAGCCATTAGTGTGCTAATGATCCATTGTTAGGCCGATGGTCCTTCTTGACCATGTGAGCAGCTGGTTTTGGTTGTCAGCAGCAAAACTGGTTGATCCACTCTGAGAAGGTGCTATTTATAAGACTGTTCTGAATACAGCGCCTCAGACTGAATAAGTCTTTTGGATGAAAGACGAAACGTTTCTACAGTTTTTTTTTTGTTTGTTTTTTTGAATATCCAGAGGACCAGATTTAACTTTTTTTTAGATTTTTCTACCTGGATTATTGAGCATGCATCAGGATGGTTACACTTTCTTAATTCTGTGTTTGTCTGCTTGTGTACAGTTAAAACTTTTGATTCTGGTAAATTCAATTCAGTTTATTTATAAAGCGCCAAGTCACAACCGAAGTCAACTCAGGGCACTGAACAGAAACATGCATATATAAAAATAATTTTAACATTATATATCTGAGGAGCAGACTGTCTTGAGTTTAACTCCATCACAGAACTCTGATCTTGAACAAGCACGAAGGCGACAGTGGAAAGGAAAAACTCCCTCTTGAGCAGAGGTGCCCAAACTTTTCCCTGAGAGGGCCAAATTTAAAATCTACCAGAGGACTGCGGGCCAAATGCAAACAAATAATTCATGAAATGCAAATACATCCTTAAGTAAAGTCCAGTTATTTATTATACAGTTATTTAACCTCCATTCTGAATAAAGTACATTACAGAACACAAAATATAACAAATGTCATATATACGAAATTAAAACAAATATTGAAATTTTGGCATTTCACTGTGTATGAAGTGCAAAATGTCAAAAAATAATGCATGACCAACAACAACACAACTTAACATCAACAATAATTTGAACATGAATAAACAGTCCCATATATACGGTAGTCATTGGGCTGACTTTTCCATCTAACATTAAAGTCAATGGATGCAACGACTGAGTGTAAACACATTGATTCTTCACAGGAAATTTTAATATAGTAACAAGGACAGCTTGGTGGGCCAACTTGGGTCCACGGGCCCCACTTTGGGCACCTCTGCTCATGAGGAAGAAACCTTTAGCACAGGCATGGGCAAACCCCGGCCCACGTATACCGCCCCTTGTGCTTTTTAATTGGCATGCTGAAATTGTTCAAAATTTGGACAATTAAAAACAAAACAAAAAAAATATATTTTTTTTTCAGGGGTGCTGAGTTAAAATTTAGGGGTGCTTAAGCACCCCCAAAAAGAGGTTAAAATCGCCACTGCTTTAGCAGAACCAGGCTCAGGACAAGCAGATCTATTTCGACCTGCTGGTTTTGAGAGGAACAGGAAGGAGCAACAGATACACAATGGCAGGTCAAGAATCACGTTAAGATAGAAATGGTATCAAATGAAAACCATTCAATTTCAACAATTCATTTAAGGAAATTAGGTCAGTTTGTCCTCCGTTAGTCTAAGTTTATAGCAGCATAACAAGCCAACCCTAACTATAGGATTTATCAAAAAAGGAAAGTCTTAAGTCCAGTCTTAAAACTGTCTTACAGACAGAAACGGGAAGTTGTTTCAATAAGAGAGGAGCCTGATAACTGAAAGATCTTCTTCCCATTCTGCTTTGGGAAACTCTAGGAACTGCGAGTAAGCCTGCAGTCTGCGAGCGAAGTGCTCTGTTAGGAAAATACGGAACCATAAAATCTCAAATATTAGATGGAGCTAGGTTGTTGACAGCTTTGTAGGTTAGAAGTCAGACTAAACTTAACCTGAAACAGCCTTCCTGCTTTTTTACGATCATTTGAAGCTTGTTTTAGAAGCAATTCCTTTGGTAAATACCGTAGAAGACTTGGAAATCTTTCAACGTGCCAAAAAGAGAAATTATTACCGGTACACTCTAATTTTTTTTATAATCATCTGCCTTCAAAACCATTGGCGTTCTGTGTTTTTCTCCTTTCTTTCAACTCAAACCCAGCCAGTCGAAACAGATGGCCGCTCGTCCTGAGCCTGGTTCTGCTGGAGGTTTCTTCCATTTAAGAGAGTTTTCTTTCCACTGTTGCCATTGTGCTTGCTCAGGATGGGGGATTGCGACGAAGTTAAGATTCAACGCAATCTGCTGGCTTCCTTAGGTCCATAACTTCTACTAATTGGCGTGTATAGTGGATTTGGATGCGGACAGCGCTCCGAGACGACCTCTGTTGTGACTTTATAAATAAATTGAATTGAAAACACAAAATCAGACTTCTGATCTGTTTGATAGAAAGAAACCTGTCTGATACCAGATACCTTACAAAGTCTCATTTTATAAATAATTACAAAAAGGGTTATTTTCTAAAGTTTTTTTTTTTTTTTTTTTTCTTGAAAGTATTTCCAAAACCAGCTCTTAACTGTCCACAGGATGCTCATTCTCATTATTCCCCAGACTAGTATTGTTTTGCTTATGTAACATTAGAGCTACTCCAAGTCTGTCGGTAACGACAAAAACAAATCAGAACACTGAAAGCGCTGGATTAAAAACAAATGTGGTTATTCTCAAATGCGAAACATTTTAAGATGGCGGCTCTACTCTGAGTCCCTCCCGGATGATCGAGCTTCTCATCCTGTCTCTAAGGGAGAGACCAGACACCCTGCGGAGAAAACTCATTTCGGCCGCTTGTATCCGAGATCTCATTCTTTCGGTCACAACCCAAAGCTTGCGACCATAGATGAGGGTAGGAACGTAGATCGATCGGTAAATTGAGAGCTTCGCCTTTTGACTCGGCTCTTGTTTCACCACGACAGACCTGTACAGCACCTGCTTCACTGCAGACGCTGCACCTATCCGCCTATCGATCTCACGCTCCATTTTTCCCTCATTCGTGAACAAGACCCCAAGATACTTGAACTCCTCCACTTGGGGTAGGACCTCCTCCCTGACCCGGAGAGGGCACTCTCCCCTTTTCCGGCTCAAGACCATGGCCTCGGATTTGGAGGAACTGATCCTCATCCCGGCCGCATTGCATTCGGCTGCAAACCGCTCCAGCGAAAGCTGTAGATCACGACTTGATGAAGCCATTAGGATCACATCATCTGCAAAAAGCAGAGACGTAATCCTAAGGCCACCAAAACGGATCCCCTCAACACCTTGGTTGCGCCAAGAAATTCTATCCATAAAAGTTATGAACAGAATCTGTGACAAAGGGCAACCTTGGCGGAGTCCAACTCTCACCATCTATGAGTCACCATGTTTGGAGAAAAACGCATCATAAGTGTTAGACATGGGGGGTGGGATGGTTTGGTTTTGCAGCCTCAGCACATGGGGACCTTGCACTCCTCTGAAGACCAAAGAGTCAAATGTGAGGCTGGGTCGGGGGACAGCTTGTTTTGCTACGGGGCAAAGCGGTTTAGGTTAACAAGCCAAGTTGGCATCTGTGCCGTTTCTGAAATCGATCGAAGGAAGCTAGCACCAACCGTGCTTTTGTTCTTTGACAGGATAATGAAGCCAAGAGTTCTCATTTTTCTGATTTGTACCGTTTTTGTTTTTCCTCCCGCTTGCAGGCGGCTTCTGTCAGAGTTTCTGATAACAGCTCTGCCGATCACTTAGCACTGCTTTGGGCTTTTTAACGAACTTGTGTCCACATCAAAACTGCACAGTGAGATTCATACAGTTTTTTGTTGTTTGTTTGTTTGTTGCAGGAGAAAGGAATCCCTTTGATGGGAGAGTCCTCTGTCCTGGCCTCCTGGGTCAATCGCCGTGTCATGATGATGGGTACGAGTGCAATGTACTGTATGTGTGTGATATGTAGCTATGTTGGCAGGGAGTTTCCCTCCATGAGCAGTGGCTCTTTGATTATTTAGTTTTCACGATCATTGTTAGAGTGCAAGTGGTAAAAAACAGTGAGCTGTACTGGGATGTACCGTATTTTCCGGCGTACAAGTTGCTCCGGAGTATAAGTCGCATCAGCCAAAAAAGCATCATGAAGAGGAAAAAACATATACAAGTCGCATTTATTATGCATCACCGCTGACCCGTTTATTATGCGTTTATTTTAGGGGTACAGAATTTTTTTTTTTTAAAGAATCTAGATTCTTAGTCCTGGCGATTGTGAATCGATTCTAAAGGCCCATAAATTGATTTTAAAATGCGTTTTATTTTTTGAAAAATCCAGGCAACTAAGCTAACCTAATACTGGTAATTTAAGGTACATAATTGAATGCACTCCTGTATTTGTTCCTATTTTTGGTTTAAATATAAAACGATGCAAAAAGATTTGATACAGTAATGAACCTAAAATTGTTGTTTTAAATAAATGTTCCATTTGTTTACAATGTTTAATCGTTTCAGCTTGTTCGTTACATAACTGAAACAAAATTTGACTATTTCAATAGAAAAATCGTTTCATAACCGGAAAATCGATTTTGAATTGAATCGTCAGAGATTCACACCCCTAGTTTATTTAATGGTCAAAACAGCTTTGCTTGGGTAGCGCCGTGTCGCGCTATCCGTCCGCCCGCCCGCAATCACTGTGTGAGGGGCGGGGTACACCCTGGACAGGTCTCCAGTCCATCACAGGGGAGAAAGGGGTTCTCTGCAGACCAAAAGTGGGCGTTTCTAGAGGGCAAACACTGATTGGCTAGCTGTATTTGCTGCTCTTTAGATAAGTTACATCAGCTCTTTTTTTTTTAAACTGAAGGTTTCTAAGAAACAGTGTTATTTATATCTGCTGTCAAACACAAGAAGATTCTCTTTTGTTCTTGGGTTGTAGGCTGCACCTGACACAGGTTGCCTTGAGTGTGGTCTGGGTACAATGAAATATGAAGCATCTGAAGCGAAACCTGCTTCCATTTGTCAAAAAGTCTGGTCTCAATTAAAGATCATGAGTCCTGTAACGAGATAATGGCACCAAACAAAAGCTAAAAACAAAATTTGTCTTTAGAAGTGTCTTCTATGAGATCTGATCTATGAAAGGAGCTGAAACATGGAGTAGGGTTGACCCTTAAAATGTGAGACGGCTGAGGAAGTTAACCAGTAAACAGAAATACCTGCTCCAGTTGCAGAAATCTTACAGAAACTGACAATCACTCATCTGCAGTGACTGATTTAAAAGGTTGAACAAGAAAATGTGAGGTTCAAGGAAACATCCTTTGTCCCAAAACCACTTTAAGCATCATTATTATTTTGGTTACTTTATTTGTCTTTCTTTATGAATTCATTGCAACTATGTTCACATTATTCAAAAACCAAAATGGATTTTGTTTTTTTAATGTAATGGCTAGGTATTAAAAAAACAAACCTTTAGCTCTCCCCACTATCCATTTATGTTGCTCTTATTTTGAAGTGTAACTGGAAGTTCTGCGTTAAGAGAGGCGGAAAGAGAAGTTATGGTGACGCTGCTAATGTCGAACCGGTTAACACCATAGACATATGTCTGTGGTTAACACAAACGCCTTATCGTTCAGCCTTTTTTTTTTTTGTCCAATCAGATGTGGCCCTCCAGACACGCCCATTTCTCTCTCGTCCAATCAGATGTGGCCCTCCAGACACGCCCATTTTTCCTCTCGTCCAATCAGATCTGGCCCTCCAGACACGCCCATTTCCCCTCGTCCAATCAGATTTGGCCCTCCAGACACGCCCATTTTTCTCTCGTCCAATCAGATGTGGCCCTCCAGGCACGCCCATTTTTCTATCGTCCAATCAGATGTGGCACCCCGGATACGCCTTCCGAATTTGTCTGCAGAGATACCTCCTTGCCACAGCGCCACTAGCTCTCCAGCGTTCCTCCGCCTGCACCATCTGAGTGAAGCAAGGGCACACGGGAGGACTCACTGTTGCAGTTCTTAGAAATTTAAAGCGTCAGTCAAAAATTGCGTTATGAATATGGAAAAAATAACTTGTATAAGTTGCAGGACTGACAAATTATGCAAAAAAAAAAAACCTGCGACTTGTACGCTAGAAAATACGCTAATTTGTTTTGTCTTAAATGTGCAAGGCAGTGTTCATTTTCTGTTTGCTTTGAATTGACTTTACCCCAAAAAGTAACTTGAATCCATCCCTTTTAATATCTGTTCATTAACCCACAGATGAGCAGGAGGCCCTGAACTCCATCATGCAGGACTTGGCCGAACTGCATCGCTCCAGCCGTCCTGCGACTTTCTTGTCGGACTTGGGGAAACCCAAAGCCTCCTCACCCAAGAACCAGGTAATCGCACGCATCCTGGGAGTTACACAAGCAGACGGTAAACCCGTTCCTGAACTTGTCCTCTTATTGCCGAGTTTGACTTTGTGTCCACAGAACGATGTGAGAGTGAAGTTTGAGTTCAAAGGAGAGAAGAGGTGAGGTTCTGTTCTTTTGTGTCGTCGGGGCAGACTGACTGCTGCAGCCTCCTGACCTTTCCTCTTCCCTGCAGGATCCTGCAGTTTCCTCGACCTGTCAAGCTGGAGGACCTGAAGACAAAAGCCAAAGTGGCTTTCGGTCAAACAATGGACCTGCACTATTCCAACAATGAGGTACAGGATATGAAGCTTTAACACGCGGACAGTCATAACAATGGAACAATAAAAAGGTGAAATGTACGCTGTTCTCCTCCTGCAGTTGGTGATCCCTTTAACAACCCAGGATGATCTGGACAAGGCTGTCGAGCTGCTGGATCGCAGTGTTCACATGAAGAGCCTAAAGATCCTTCTGGTGCTCCAGGTCAGCAGCTCTCGCAGTCTGTTAAGTCCATGCTCCTTCTTTATAAATACCTACAGAGAAGTGTTTAGACTGAAAGAGACCAGGTTTCAGAAAAGAATACAACATTTGCTGAGTTTAAAGCAGCACTTGGAGGATTTGAGTCTTAAGGAGCGAAACTAACCGATGCTCAGAACATGGCCTCAAACATTATATATTTTTTTACTTTTTAAAGATACAGTAGTCCCTCATTTGTTGCAGGGGTTACGTTCCAGATGCTCCTGCAATAAAAGAAAATCTGCAAAGTAACAACGTTTTATTTATTTTAGTATTTGTATATACCGTATTTTCCAGTGTATAAGTTGCTCCGGAGTATACGTCACGTCAGTCAAAAAAAAAAAGCATAATGAAAAGGGGGAAAAAAAAGTCGCTTCGGTGTATAAGTCAAATTTATTATGCATCACCGCTAGGCCTGTCACGATAACAAATTTTGCTGTGCGATTATCTCAAATTATTGCGATAAACGATAATATTGTTTGAAATTTGACAATAATTAGTCAAATCTAAGAAGAAATGTTAATTTTTTTAGTGTAATACCTTTTTTGACCACCAGATGCCAGTATAAGATTGTTTGAACCGAAGGATGGATAGTGAGGGAGCGAGCAGCGTGTCTCTAAGAAAAATGGGAGTGAGGCCCCTTGACATGACATGGGCTGTCTCCTTCCTTTGTTTTGGTTCTCAAAATGGCGGATGCTCGGTGTGGTTTGAGCTCTTTAGCATAGCATTTTTCACACAAAGCTTTTAATAAAAAAATCAGTAAATAAGTTCTCAGCTTCTTTTTGCAGAGAAAAACAACTTTTTACACGAAGGCACGGGTTTCAACCGTGAATTTTGGAGCTTTGACAAGACGGAGGTTTTTTCTTGAGGTCGGCCTGTTAGCTTAGCTCGTAGCTTAGCTTCTCAGCTTAGCTGCTTTTAACGATCCAAAAACGTGATTTTAGATGGTTAAAAGTACGGATTTTAAAGAGAAAGGGAGGGGGTCAGTGAAGAACACCACTTGTGCGTTTTGTCATCCAGTGTCTTCAGTAGAACGAGACACGAAGAAACGATAACGAAAATGAAAATGAGGTTGATTATTTTCATTTATAATGCGATTAATTGATTTATTTTTTATCGTGACAGGCCTAATCACTCCTGACCTGTTCATTATGCGTTTATTTAATGGTCAAAACGGCTTCGTTTCGCCTGGGTGGCACCGCGCCAACCATCCATCCGTCGCAGTCGGAGCCACTAGCTCCCCAACGTTCCTCCGCCTCACCAGCTGAGTGAAGCGAGCGTGTGCAGGAGGACTCACTGTTGCAGTTCTTCGAAATTTAAAGCATCAGTCAAATATTGCGTTATGAATATGGAAAAAAAAATGTACAAGTCGCAGGACTGACAAATCTATGCAAAAACTGCGACTTATACGCAGGAAAATACGGTACTTAAGGATCTATAAACCCTTCCCACACTCGTGCAATGTTCTTAACTCTTTAACCTACTAATTTTAACAACATACTTATATGTAGCTACTAAATTTTACTCACCAGCTGGCAGGACAGCAGCGGCTCGGTTCTGTTCCAACTTGGTTCTGTTTCGGCAGACCTACCCTGCCGGTTCTGGTCGGCTCTCTGAGTAGTGGCGGTGGGCTCCAAATGGAGCACTTGCCCTACGTCCCACCTCCCCGCTTGGTGGTCCTAATGGGTCGGCTAGCAGCTCTCGGATATGCTGATGGGTCTGGAAGTTCGGTTCTGCTCCGGTTCTGTGCAGCCCTTGAGCGCCGAAGCACATGTTGGTGTGGGGGACCTTCGGGTGGCTGACGCAGGACCCTTGGTCCATTGGAGTGGTCCGAGAGATGAAAAAAAGTTCCGGCGGGCCCAGGATGGAGCGCTGGACCTTCGGCGGCGCGCGTTCCGCTTGGAAGTCCTCGTGGGCCGGCTACTAGCTCTCAGATTCACCGATGGGTCTGGAGGTTTGGTTCTGGTCCGGTCCTGATCTGCTTCGGGGCACTGAAGTCACTAATAAATGCCAAACTTTTTCCGATCAGATCAAAACTTTTCCTCTAGTATTTCAGCAGAAGGCAACAGGGCTTCTGGGTGGGACACTGTTGGCTTCTGGGAAATGTAGTCCTTATGAGCGGTGATGCAGTGTAGGCTTATTGAGAGAAAACTACAAAATAGCAGCACCTGTCCAAAGTGTATTATTTTTTCGTTAACTTTTTACTGTACTGTATCCAGTACTGTCCCAATCATGTGAGTAATATTAAAATTGACAATCATGTGTTACGTATGATTTTAAAATTTATAATTCTCGTGTTCAATCTTACTTTGAAAAACCGCTATAGAGCGAGTCCGTGAAAGTTGATCTGTGAAGTAGCGAGGGACTACTATACACAAACCAATCATTTTACTGTTTTTTGCAAATGTTTAACTTTTTTTAATACTTCTTTAATTTTCAAACATCAACCATCTGTTCTGTTTCTCCAGACCCCTTCTTCCAACATGGACCTCTTGCCGTCCCATGAGGAGCTGGACAACACGGGATTCAGGACTATAGGTAAATATTGTATCCGAGTTGTTGTTGTTCTCGAAGCCCAAATAAAAATCAGGTTTTTATTTTACCCTTACTTCCTGTCGTATAGATGCACCAGAGTTCATCTTTTGGACCTTTCTCCTCTTACTCAGGTTCCCGTTCAACAGACCGCAGCTCTCCTCCTCCCGGATACATTCCCGACGCTCTCCAGCAGGTGGCGAGGAACGGCTCCTTCACCAGCATCAACAGCGAGGGGGAGTTCATTCCTGAGAGCATGGACCAGGTACTGACACAGGAGGGTTCTGTAAAACGGCAAGAACTGAAAACTCAACCTTCAAAAGGAATTTGACGTCTTCACAATTGATCCAAGAAACTGTTTATTTTTTGCTGTTGAAAGTGTCGAATATATTTTGTTACTTTTTTAATGTCAACATCGAGTTGGGCTCTGTGTAATTTGAGCTTTCATGTTTAGGGAGTTTCTTTGCGTTAATTAATTTTGTCCTGCAGATGTTGGACCCGCTGTCTATGAGCAGTCCAGAGAACTCGGCGTCTGGCAGCTGTCCCTCTTTAGACAGTCCTCTGGACAGGTCAGGACTCAAACATGCACCTTGTTCATAAACTACTGGGAGCGTTTGGTTTTAAAAGACCAGCATTTCATGAAAAGTCTCAAGTTTGAAATAAGACTTAGCTGTTTTTGTTTTTGTTTTTCCATGATTTTTAGTGACTATCCTAAATCCAGGATGCCCAGAGCACAGAGTTACCCCGACAACCACCAGGACTTTCCAGGTGACTTTAAAGTTGTTTTTATTGTACGATCCTTTTTTAGATCTTTGGAGGTTTGACCTTTTTATTTTCTGCTGCGTGGATGGAGAGCAAACAGAGTTGGAGAAATTGCATTTCCAGCGAAAATCCAGTTGCTGTGAAGAACTTGCTGAAATTACCAAGTCGAATGCTGAAATGTAACTGAAAAGCAAGAACAATCCTAAGTTAGCAGAAGAAAGTGGAAAGAATACATTTTCTTAATTAGGTTTAAATAAGCAGAAATGAACACATGCATTAGGAAATTAGCTAAAAAAGCTGAAATTGGCAACAACAAAAAAAAAAAAACAGCTGAAAAGTAGCTTAAAAAAAAGCAGAAAGAAGCTTAAATTACCAGAAGTGGAGAGAGCACAATTGTGCCAAATTAGGCTGAAAGACGCAGAAATGGGCACAAAAAAGAGGAAATTATCTGAAAAAGCAGAAGAAGAAAAAAACAGCTGCATAGTAGCTAAAAAGGTAGAGATGAGCTTAAATTACTAGAAGGAAGTGGCGAGAGCACAGTTGTATCCAATTAGGCTAAAAGAAGCAGAATTTAGTACATAAAAGTGAAAATTATCTGGAAAAAAAAGCAGAAATTTGCAAAACAATAGCTGAGTAGTAGCTAAAAAAAGAAGATAGAAGCTTAAATTACTGGAAGGAACTTGAGAACACAATTGTATCCAATTAGGCTGAAAGAAGCAGAATGTGCATAAAAAAGTTTATTTCAAAAGAGCAGACATTTGCAAAAAACGGCTGAAATTTCCTAAAAACAAGCGGAAATATAGCTGAAATAGAAGAACAAGCCTAAGTTATCAGAAAAAAGCAGAAAGAACACATTTGCTGAATTTAGTTTAAATAAGCAGACGTGAGTACAACAAATTGGAAATTATCTGGAAAAAAGCAGAAATTTAAATAAAACAGCTGAATAGTAGCTAAAAAGGTAGAGATGAGCTTAAATTACCAGAAGGAAGTGGAGAGAACATGATTGTGAAAGAAGCAGAATTTAGAACATAAAAGTGGAAATTATCTGAAAAGAGCATTGTCCAGTTTTAAGACTGGGCTTAAGACTTTCCTTTGTGATAAATCCTATAGTTAGGATTGGCTTGTTTTGCTGCTATAGACTACGACTACTGGAGGACAAATTGATCTCATTTCCTTAAATGAATTGTTAAAATTGAATAGTTTTCATTTTAAACTATTTCTGTTAACATGTGATTCTTGACCTGCCATTGTGTATCTGTTCCTACCAAACCCAGGCGGTCGAAGCAGATGGTCGCTTGTCCTGAGCCTGGTTCTGCTAAAGGTTTCTTCCTCATAAGGGAGTTTCCTTTCCACTGTCTCCTTCATGCTCGCTTAAGATGAGTCTGCAAAGTTAAACTCAAAGCAGTCTGCTCCTCAGATAAATAGTGTTAAATTATTTTTATGCTTATGAATGTTTTTGTTCAGTGCCCTGAGATGACTTCTGTTGTGACTTGTCGCTATATAAAATGGATTGAATTAAATATGCAACAAACGGCTAAATAGCAGCTAAAAAGGCAGCTAAAAAGGCAGAAAGAAGGTCATGGTTCTTCGCATCTCGTGGTACATGTGGTGGAACAAAATTGTGTACACAGGGTCCCATTTACATCCAACAAAAGTATAAATTGTAAAGAAAATCCATAATAAGATCCAAGATATAAACTAAGAAATGCGCTAAACTAAGAATACACTAAGCACTAATAGTACAAAAACAATACGCCAAACAGCAGCACGAACATGAGTCTGTGTGAGCAGGTGAGTACAGAAGAACCTTAAATTACCAGAAGAAAGTGGAGAGAGCACACTTGTGCCCAATTAGGCTGAACTAAGCAGAAATTAGTGCAAAAAAGTAGAAATTAACTGAAAAAAGCTGACTTTTGTAGAGCTGAACGTTTTGATATATGAATTGTTGAAGTAGTAAAAAATTGTGGAACGAGAAAGATGCTGAAAAATGTACAGAATAGATGAAGTAGGAATAATAATTAAACCGGATCACAATAGTGTGAATGCTTAATAAGCGTTCACACAATAATGTGGTCAGATAAAGAATAATCGGTACGCGTTAATTTGCTCCTCTGCAGAGTACGACATCCCCGTGTTTGAGAAGTCTGGGAAGGGGGGGACGTATCCTCGCAGATACGGTATTCCCTTCGGCCTGCAGGATTACAGTGACGGCAGGAAGACCTTCCCTCGGGCCCGAAGAACTCAGGTTCACAGCTTCCGCTCTCCGGTCAGCTTCAGTCCGACGGAGCAGTCCCCCAGCACCAGCAGCGGCAGCAGCGTCTTCACACCCGACCTGGAGGAGGTCCCCGGACCCGTCAGGAGGCGGAGAGGCAGCGACATCGAGCCAAGCCCCAACCCACCAACTGGACCAACCCTCTCCGTCATGGACATCAGCCCCCCCAGCCGCTGTGAGTCCTGCTCTGGGTTTTTTCCAACACAAAGCGAGTAAACACTGTTTTCAGTCTGACGCCTTTGTCTTTTAGCTCCACGGGCTCCAACCAACTGGCGTCTGGGGAAGCTTCTGGGTCAGGGGGCTTTCGGGAGGGTTTTCCTGTGTTACGATGCCGATACTGGGCGGGAACTGGCAGTCAAACAGGTCCAGTTTGACCCGGAGAGTCCAGAAACCAGCAAGGTGTGTGTCTGCTCTGCTATTGGATTTTTGGGCGATATCCGATATGCCGATATGTTAAACCGTATTTGGTAGATACCGATATTTTTAATATACTTTCCTTTGTCAGAACATAGCCCTCTCTCTTATTTAGGCTTATTTGCTACAAAATGTGTAACAGCTGTAAGAGCTGGTGACATATTCAGTAACAGCCATATGATATGTATAGCACTTTAACTTATATTAAATGAAAAGTGTTAAATGTTATTTATTAGCATTAGTCACCTGCGATGCTGTCTCACTTGTGGAGGCTTGTTCCAGGTTCCTAGTTGCAGTGTGGGATCCTCTGCACTCTTGTGCCTTTTTAAGTTCAAAGTTTTTGTCTATTCATTGTTCCGTAAGACTAATCATGCTAACGGGGCTAACACGACGTCCAAATGTCTGTGGTAAAACTCACCCAAGTGCTATCAGCTATTAGCTTCTCAATGACGTCGGAAATGACGGCTTGTAACTCGGAAAAATATCTCCGACTGGGGACGATGTAGTGAGGCTCAATAAATCTTCGGAATCGGACATCCTCAACGAAAAAAAACTTCCACACCGCCGACATTTTGAATTGTCCTCTCCACCGTGAAATCAGGTAGGCGCGTGCGACGTCATCACGTTGTGCTGGCGCCGCAGACATCCTCGTCACTGGGTTGTCCTACAAAAGCAGTGCCTTATATATCAGTGAGTTATTTTGATGGAATGGCCGACGTCCGATATTTAACTTTTATTGCTAATATCGTCCAATACCGATACCATGCCGATAATATCGTGCATCCCTATTTAACGTTTATATCTTCATATTTTTAACCTGTTCAGGAGGTGAGTGCGTTGGAGTGTGAGATCCAGCTGCTGAAGAACTTGTGCCACGAGCGGATCGTTCAGTACTACGGCTGCTTGCGAGACACGATGGAGCGAACGCTCTCCATCTTCATGGAGTACATGCCAGGAGTCAGTGCTGAGTTCAACTGTTTTCATTCTTAAAGTTATATTCTTGTGCTTTTAGAATCCTGGTTTTTATTTTTGGATAAAAAAAAAATCATTCCCATTTGTCGTTACTGGCCTTTGGAGCTTGTTGTATGGAAATCTTTCTGATTATCTCCGTTCTTCCGGTTCTCAGGGCTCCATCAAAGACCAGCTGAAGTCTTACGGAGCGCTGACGGAAAACGTGACGCGGCGCTACACCCGGCAGATCCTGGAGGGGGTCTCCTACCTGCACAGCAACATGATCGTCCACCGGGACATCAAAGGTGAGCCGGACTCGTTCTGTTCTCGGTTCAGGCTAATTTACTGCCGATGAAGACGACGCTGAAAGTCCTCTTCACGCAGGGGCCAACATCCTGCGAGATTCTGTAGGAAACGTGAAGTTGGGGGACTTTGGGGCCAGCAGGCGGCTGCAGACCATCTGTCTGTCCGGAACGGGGATGAAGTCTGTGACCGGGACTCCGTACTGGATGAGCCCAGAGGTCATCAGTGGAGAAGGGTACGGCAGGAAGGCCGACATCTGGTGAGACCTGAGACACACCTGCTTTTAGTCTTTCATGTTGGCTTCACTCTAGGTGGTCCACTTGGACCACTTGAACGCCCGGTTGTGGTGTTATGGCACATCAGTGGATGTAGAGGGTAAAATATGGCTCCGGGATTAAAGACATCTTGTTAGAAAAGAGCAATCAATGTTATAACTTTAAACAAATAGACCTCGAAACCTCAAATTAAACCTGTAGATTACCATAGTTGTCGGGCTACAGAACGCACCAAACTGTAAGCCGTGCATACTCGATTTAAGATGAAACAATGTTTTTAAGCTGCGAGTATCCACCGTTCGTTGTCGGGATCGGTGCCCAGCTCTTGGCGTTATGTGCAGCTCTTGTAGTTCAAGACTCAGCCACCAGATGGCGTTTCATGGACTGTTGCTTGGTGATAGAAGTCTTCATGAAGCTTCACTGTCTAACTCATGGGTAAAACCATTGAACCTACAGAATGAGCACAAGAACTATCTAAGCATAATCACTGGACAGAACAGTGTCAAACACCTACGTAACTGAAATTATTTAAAAATTATATGCCGGTAAATCCCCAGAAGTCTTATCAAGGTCATGTGACCAGGAGTGGCATAGTACCGGTAAAATATGGTAAATTTTCATTAAATTAGTACCATTTGATTTTTATTGTGAAACACTTTTGGTAACAGCTGCTGTTTTTAATATTTACTTTCTAAATAAATTTGATGTGGTTTCTGCTCAGCAGAGCCCGGAGGAGGTGGGAGGAAGGGGGAAGAGCCCCCTACCGTTCGCCGTCTCCGCTCCGTGTTCGGATGTGCGCGTAAATGAGATACCGGTATTTAAACGCATATTTACCGTACACGGAAAGACGTCGCACAGAAATAATTTTAACTTTTATTAAAATATGTACCAGACTTGACTACTTTTAAAAATAGATTTTGACGACCTCTGCCCAGCGGAGCCCGCGTGAGTCAGGAGGAGGGGAACAGCCAAAACGCCTTTGACACAGCTAAAAACACTAAAAGTACCGGTAGTCAACCAAAAGTCACTCATGGCTCTGTTCTTCGACCTCCTGTGAACTAAAGTCAACTTCGAGGCTCAGAAAAATGTCATCACACACGTCCTTCCCGCTCACTTTCAGCAGGCGGCTGTTTCCTCCTCGACAGCTGATCCCTCGCTTTAACTTGAAAGCTGCATCATAAGAAATTCTCCGTGCGTTTTCTGTTCTCGCTGAACAGATGGACAGGTCTGTGCATGAAGCACAAAATACAGTAACAATCTGAAGAAATTCATTCACGTCTCTCTTGGGGGATGGTTCCTGGAAAGTATCTCATTGGTCATTATGGTTAGACTTCTGGTCACATGACAGAGTGGGTGGAGTTATGGTAGGAAATTTGAAACCGTGAGCGAGGCTTGGTACATGTGGTCACCTGAGGGCATTCACTGTGTATGTCACAAAAGTCCGCCCCCAAGAATGGTGGGTAGTGGGAAGCTGCATGCGCGCCCAGCTCTGTCAAAGGAAAATGTTTTTCAGCTGCATGAAGCCGCCGTCGATCAAAATAAAATCTAAAAATATTGAATTATTACAATTTTATTTAAAAAAAAATACACAAATTAGCTGCTCCGGTGTATAAGCTGTGTAGTCTAATGTGTGAAGGGCAATTACCGTTGTTCAACTCCAACAATTTTAACAGATTTACATTTGAGTCTTTTCCCAGTGAAACCAGTTTTCATTTCCTGTTTGTTCTCTGAGCGTCTCTGGTGGTGATGGTGGATTTTCCCTCCCGTTTTTCTCCTCAGGAGTGTCGGCTGCACCGTTGTAGAGATGCTAACGCAGCGGCCGCCGTGGGCGGAGTTTGAGGCCATGGCAGCCATCTTTAAAATTGCCACGCAGCCCACCAACCCGGTCCTGCCGGCCCACGTGTCGGACCACTGCAGAGAGTTTCTCAAGCGGGTCTTTGTAGAGACCAAGCAGCGGCCATCTGCAGACGAGCTACTGAGGCACATCTTTGTACATTAACCTGAGAACTGAAGCCCTGCCCACCTGCAGAGCTGCCCAATGGCGGCTCCTCCTCTGGCCACGCCCCTTCCTCCTAAACACTGAGACCACTTTGGAGCAGGAAGGACCGGCTGGAGTTAAGTGGGCGGTTCTGTCACAGAGGACGTGATTTTTAGTTTTTCTCGGCAACGTGCACCTTATTTTCTGAACTGCGGAGAAATCGAGCACTTTCTCCCGAAGACGAGTTTTGTTTTGTTTAAATGTTTGTACCGTTTCTCTCCTCAAACCTTCTGGAGCGGGACGTGTCAGTGTTGTGGACCTGGAACTGAGATCCCCACCCCCCCCCCCCCCCCGGCCCCAGAATGTATCCCCCTCCCAACCCCCAGAGTCCCGAAACCCCGGCCCCCCTCCCAGCACGCCCCGCCCCCCCCCCCTCGGTCTTTGCCGTGTGCCTTTTCTGTTTTTAAACCCAGTTTAGGAACAAGTCTGGACTTTACGTTCGCTCCGTGTGGTTTCGCCTCCTGGATAAACTGCCTTCACACCGTTAGCCCAAAACCAGCTGGCCTCACGTCAGCTGCTTCAGATGCCTTTTTTTTTTCTTCTTCTTTCTGACAGGAACGTCTGAGCTGACGTCTCTGACCTCAGATCAGCTCGGATGAGAGCCGAACATCCCTCAGACCCGGTTCGGTACTTTATGCTGCAGCTCTTCAGATGAGCTCTCCTCTGCTTCACGAACCGTTTTAAGCAAGTATTTAAATTTAAATGAACCAGAAGCGCGATGGAAAAGTTGACGTAAAACATTTGGAAATTCATTTTCCTCATTGCAGGAAATATCTTTAAAAAAAAAAAAAAAACGAGCGTTGATTGATGATGAGTTCTCGCTCTGCTCCGACAGAAGCAGGAGAGGAGCATCTGGCGAGCGCAGCGCTTCAGACCTCGCACTCGGACTGGTTTCGCTTTCGTTCAGAACTCGCGTGACGACAGAGCTGCGAGCTGTTCGTCACTGACCCCCCCCCGCTGCAGTCGGCTTTGACCCGATTGACACTCCTACAGGTTAGACTCACACCTGAAGATGTTTACAGGCTCTTATTTAACTGCGGTTTCTGTTCCCGCCAAATTAAAAGCATCAGTTGGAACGGCGAGTGCGCTCACGGCTGACGACTCCGTTGAGTTGGGCTCACGGTTCAGAGAGTTCCCGAGCAGCCGCGTCGGCTGCCATTCAAACACGGACCTGTTCGTGTTTTCATGTCGGTAACGTCTGACGGTCACGTAGTTCTCAACGATCAATCATTTCAATCTTAAATGAAAACCAACCAGTTCAGTTTAAAGCAGAGGTTCTCAAACTGTTTGAGTCCAGGGACCCCCTCATAACCCTCATGTTTATTAATTGTCTTCAGTTTGTCTCTTTCTAATGCAATGGAAATATTTGTGTAACATAAATACTTAAGACCTGTTCTTTAATAGTGTTAATACAATTTTTCTACTTTTAAACATGGGGTATTTTTCATTCATGACAAACTTAATGAACAAAATACTTCGAAAAATTACAGTTTTGAGAAAATTTAAAGTATTAAAACTACTTTAAAACTTTTACCTATTCACTAGAGTTGCATTCGGGCCGAAAATATCCAACCCGGCCTGAACCCGTATCATTTTTTCCGAGCCCGACCCAAAACCGACCGATTAACTGATTACAGGCCCGAACATGAAAAAACCCCAACGTTTTTTTTAAATTAAGCTTTTACTGTTTTTGTAAGCAAATCCGTTTGACATGATTTAAAAACATATTTCAAAGAAAGGAAGACATAACATTTATTGATTATTAACAAGAGTCAGCGAATTAATTTAGATATTATAATTATTATAATTGTTATTAATGGTCGGCGGACGTGCGCGGCTGATGATCCAAATTGGGTCGTCGGCCGCTCGTCCACTGATGCAGCGGCTGAGTCCATTTAAGCTTCAGGTGGGTCACTGGCAGTGAACCATTTGGACTTTTTTTTTTTTTTTTTTTTTACCTCTCAACAGGCTGGTCAGCACGCAGCTGATTGACCGCCCGCGGCTGATTGACCGCCCGCGGCTCTTTGACCGCGCGCAGGTCATTAACCGCGCGCAGCTGTTTAACCGCGCGCAGCTAAACATCTGCGCACGGTTTAACAGTCGCGCGCGGCTGGTGATCCAAATCAGATTGTCAGCCGTGTGCGGCCGCTGACTCATTCAAAAGTCAAACACCGGCTCGGCCGGCCCATTTAGCACATTATTTTTGGCCCGGCCCAGTTCAGGTCCAGGTTAGAAATAACAGCTCTACTATTCACATAATGAACATAAATATGTCGCCACGTCTTCAAATTATTTCATAAAACATAATCATAACAGCAGTAGTCATACCAAGTAACAGGGCTTTATTTGTAAACTGATTGATGCCAGAACGCAATAGTGGGCGGGGTTTGGTGGTGCCGCCCCCAGAAAATTTTGCATAAAGTAGATGTGATTTCCTGCATTTTGGTGTATTTTAACGAATTATTAAACATCTACGCGCTTGTAAAAAAAAAAAAAAAAAAAATTGCCGACCCCCAAGCACTGGCTCGCGTACCCTCGGTGGCCCAGTGACCCCAGTTTGAGAACCACTGGTTTAAATGGATGGTATCGAGTTGTTTTCACGTAGCAGACAATGAGGTGCTTCTGCTGTTTAAAGGTGCTATCTGAACATTTTTATGTCTGTGTGTCGGGGGGAGGAGCTTGTATCGGTACGAAAACAAACTGAGCTCAGCTTGGAGTCGGTTTGTGTTGACATGCACGATTTCTCTAAAGGTTACCGGTGACTGTTTACAGAGAACGGCGTGCGGTGCGTTCAGGCTCGTTGCTGGTCACCACGTGACTGTAGAGGACGACGTGGATTTCTGAAAGCACTTAAGCTCGAGTTAAACGGTTCAGATTTTGTTTTATCTTGTAAGAAAAGTTCCTAGTCAGGTTGTGGAAACGTGACACTGCATTTTCAACAGCCGCACGCAGGAAGTCCTGCGGATGAAACGTGTGTCGGAGAAAGTTCACGGCGACCTGTCCGCTGCAGACGGAGATGAAAACCTCCACCACGATGCACTATCGATGATTCACTGATTCTTTGCTTCCCTCATCGGCTGTCGCTGAAGCAGCTCGCTTCACAACCTTTTTCTTTGCACATTTGAAAGACTGTTTTTATTTTGTGTGTGTGTGTGTGTGTGTGTGTGTGTGTGTGTGTGTGTGCGTGCGTGCGCGCGCGCGCGCGTATGTCCTGAAGGTCAAGTTGACCTCTACTGAATGTAACGTGTCATTTTCTCCTTCAGGTGGCCTCGGTCACCTGAAACTCTTCAGTAACAGTATTTGTCTCCTGCAGATACACCTGTAGTTCTCTAGCCACTGCTGCCACTCCTCTGTGCGTGTGTGTGTGTGTGTGTGCGCGCGCGCATGTGTGTGAGAGAATGAGTGCATTTACTGCAGAATTTGCTCATTGGACACAGCGCCCAAAAAGCCTCGAGCATTCTGACTGTAGAGAACATTAAAATAATAATGAAATGTACAAACGTGTAAAATAAATTGTATCTTTTTTTTGTTTGTTTGTTTTTAAAGAAAGTCCTCTTGTAAACCCCGTTTGGTCTTTGTGAATTGTAAAAGAAGCCATGTTTATAATTCTAATTGGTTTGTGACCAATGCGCCTGTTTATATCAGATCTGTATATCAGTGGTACGCATAATTTTTTTAATATATATTTTTTATTTTCCTTTTTTTTTTTTTTTTTAAATGGGAGATTTTATGCATGGTTGAGTCTTGAGAGACGCAGCAGTGCAATCGAATGGCAACATTCTGGATTATTGACAGTTGTGTTCATAATTATAATTATGACTATGATGAAAACAATAAAGATATTTATTTCACATCAAACATTTTTTGTCTTGTTGCTTAAACAAAAGTGTACTTGTTAATTTATATATATATATATATATATATATATATATATATATATATATATTTAATTGCTCTATGCTGTGATTTTTAGTATTTTTGTTGATGGAAAAATTACTTTTTGACAACGTTAAACATATTTTTGAAAACTTTTTTTTTTTAAGGTCATTCCTGTTGCAATGGTCTACGTGTTTTTTTACAGCTTTGTTTATACTGGTCGGCTGTTTTCTGTCATGAAATGTTTGTGTGTAAAAGCGCAAATTGTTCATTGATATATTTAATTATTCTTTTACCGAAGATGTAACGTGCTAGCTGGTTAGTTGTTGGCTCTTGGTAGCCGTTAGCTCTTTAGGTAGCTGGCTGTTGGCTCTTTTTGCTAACTGGCTAGTTGTTAGCTCTTTTGTTAGCAATTAGCTCTTTAGCTACCTGGCAAGTTGTTGGCTTTTAGATCTTTAGCTGTCTGGCTAGCTGTT